CCCAGATGATCTACATTCTTTTTAAAGTGAAATTGGTGAAATTGTATTAATAGAGAGGATAGTGCATAAAAACATATTAATATACCAAAATTTGAAAGTCTGACATTCATAAAGAACACAGACGTGAAGAAATAATTTTGATAGATAGCAAAATGAAGGATTTCAGAAATTTAGTTCACGTTGCTTTCCGCTTCCATTAAGTACAATTTTAGATTGGAAACCTTCTCCATACCCTGCATCAGAATACAAACATTTTTACTAGCCCACAGCACCTACAAAAGAAAACTATTGACTAAAATGCCAACAAACACCACTTCCCCATAGGCAGAAGGGCAGAGATTTCCCTCCCCTCCCACACCAGCAAGAGTTTGCAGCACCAAACTGAAAGAAAAAAAAAAAAAATCAATGTGGGCATGTGGGTACATTGTAAAGAGTATCCCGAGCACTGCTCTTACCAAGTATTTTCCTATTCTCCTTCCTTGACGATTAAAACTTCAAAGAAGTAGAGAAGTCAAAACTCACAAACAGAAAGCAAAATCTCTTAAAAGCCTCTCTGATTTAGTCTTCTGTGAGTGATAGCAATGCTCTCCCAAGCCATCTAAACARATTGTGATCTCTAGCTTGGCAGATATTATTGAAAAATACTCATCCCTCACAAGCCAAGATGAACTAAAACTTACAAGACAACCCCTACTGTATTCTCTAAAATACCACTGCTAGAGTAAAGCACGAAGATTTACAATACAATCACTTTAAGTGCCCCACAGCCAACATCAATCCTAATCCTTAAGAGGGCTAAAAATAAAGATTGGAGGGCAGCTCACAAGGTAGCTGTGATCAAATTAGGAGGCTGAAAGGACAGAGAGGGACGAAGAAGGAAGCTTATAAACATCTGATCCAGCTGACTGTGGCCATATGGCAGCTGCTGCCCAGATAAAGAGATTAAGAATAGAGGAGTGCGATTACAGCTGTCTGGCCAATTCAGGCAGCTCAAATCTACAAGTTCTAAATTAGTCGCAAATACAAAAACTCCCTCAAATAATCACTGCTACGCTGGAATAAAAGATTTCAAATACGACACGCGAGAAAGAAAAGAGGAAACCAGGCAAGCTATTCTCCTGGGTACAAAAGTTTTTAAACACATAACTGATTTCTATCTCTCAGCAGCACTACAGCTGTATGCTGCTATCGTTCTGGGCTGCTGGATATTTAACCATGAAGTTGAAAGAAACACTTCACAACAAGCACATTTGAGCTGGAATGATTCCTTAAAAAAGAAAATTAAAAAAAAAAAGAACACCACTTTTGCACATTTCATTAAAGCCTCCTTGCCTTGAAATTCATTTTAAAGAAGCAATAAAACAACATAAACCAGAGCTATCGTTMGGCTTGTCACTAAATCCCTCTCAGTTTTGGTCGCAGAAATTAAGAACGAACTTACTCTCTCCACGTTGTAAAATCAGAAATTCTCCCAAAATGCATTAAAGTTCATTCTGACAACGTGCACAAGAACTGATCCTCCCAAACTGCAGCCCAAGCCTTTTCACTAAGTCCACTTATCTATTTAATACTCAATTTCATATATTACCCCTAAACTTGGTTAGAAAAGTAATGTGATTTTTTTCCCCCTGCAATTCAATAAACACCACGCCAAAACAGAAATACGCTGTATCTAATCTATTGCTACTCCTACCTTTAGTACACATAAACCTGATTAAGTCCTTTCCTCTGAGTCTTGCTGGCTCCAGCTCTGTTAGATCGGTGGAAAAAAAGCAGACTAGGAGAGACAGATGCAAAGTGGAGATGATGTTAGAGAGGAATGAGATACCTTCTCCACACACAGATCCGCACACACTAACTCCCTGTCTGTGTGTTAGAATAAAAGGCTGAGGGATGGCAGGCTGTCAGCTGCTCTGACATCATGTTCAGATGGAAATGCTACCTCCAGCTGTGCTCCTTTTAATGCCATATGCTACTCCTCTACACTCCTGCCACCAGCTTTTTCTTAGGAGAACTTTTCTCTTCTGTTAGTATAAACAAAATACTTCAAAGTCTCTTTTTTTTTTTTTTCAAACTTTCTAACAGGAAAAAAAGGAAAAGAAAATCCTAAACATATGGGGCTCTACTGTATCTGCAGCATAGCAGCACTTCTGCCCGGAGTTGGAGGGCTGCTTCCCACCCTCAGAGCACACGCGAGCCGGGGCTTGCCCCGCACACCCGAACCGGGGCGTTCTTACTGAGCCCAGAGGTTCAGCTAGCACACACACACACACAGATACACACACATATATAACAGCAATAACCAAAGCTATTTCCTCAGCGTGCAGCCGGGCCGCGCAGCGGCGGCGCGGGCAGGACGCGGACGCTCCCGCGCCCCC